ATAGACAATTAACACAAAGAATACTACAAAGAAGTGGGGAAAGAAGGAAGGTTAAAAAGTTGAAATTTAAGAAGGCAATCAAAGGGAATACCTGTGAAGTTGGGAAAGGCAGAAAGGCCCAGCAGAAAAGGGGAAAGGAAGATATTAAGAAAGAGAGAGATATAAACTGGAATGAGAAAAGATATGGGGAAAAGAGGGGCAGGAGAAACAGTAAGAAACAGGTGCATGAAATAAAGAAATACAGAAATAGTAAAATGTTGAAAAGAAATTGTTTTTTCAGAGATAATGGTTGATGAATTAAAAAGGGGATTCTGCAGGGTGACAAGGGGTAATAAGAATATTTCTGCAATTAAAAATATTTAGAAAATAGTGTAATATAGATACTGATAACTCCTATTAAAAATCAAGGGGGGGGGAAATATGCTGCGGAATCCAAATGAAAAGATATAATGATTATTATTGTAACTTCTTAAAAATAATGTTTTATTGGGTGATCAAGATGAGGGAATAAAGGTATATTTTAATCATTGAGGTGTCACTCAAAACAGTAAAAGGGGGGGAACCTATACTTGTTTGTTTGTTTGTTTAAGTGTTAAAATTTGTATTAATCTAGAATTTATAAAAAGTATGTGTAATGGAAAGGGAATATGACAGACTAAAGAACCAATTAAATTAATAAGTTAACATCGACTATTAAAAGCAAGGAGAGACATTGGTAACTTTTATTATTATTATTATTGTTATTATTATTATTATTATTATTAGGCAAACACATTTGTTTATCTTTATTTTTATTATATTTGAAATAATTGAAATGAAAGAAAAAGATGTTTCGATTGAGATTAATGAAAGAGGCTAGAATTAATGTGTTTGTTTCTCTCCTTACTGAAAATTTGGAATGGAAAAGGTAATAATAGAATTAAGTATGCATGTATGAATGTATAACTGTTGTCATATTTGTATGTAAAGGTGATGACCAGAAATATGTTGTCCACTAAAAAGAGATTTTTGTTTTTAATGTGAAAAACTGAATAAAATGTGTTAAAAAACAAAAACCCGGTAAATCCCCTTTTATTCATTCACTTTGCTTCCAAGCTCCAAATATCCTTGACAGAAGAAAAGAAATCTCCCACAAGAAGGGGAGAGTTACAAGAAGGAGGAAAAAAGCAACACAACCCAGGCAACATAAGGGCTGGAGGACGTCCGCAGATAACAGAACACACACTGGGAAGGATGCCAAACTCAGAGAGGAACCATAAACTAGCGATATTTCCATGCTTTGTTTCCAGCGTTCGCTTGTACGCATGTCCGACCTCTTATTCAGTTGTCACAGCTGCAGTCCATGAAGAGGATCAAGGTCCTCTCCTCCTGAGTAGACCATGTCTCTCCCTTATCCTCTCCTCCCTGCGTGCCCTAGGATGAAGAGGAGGTGGGCCTGGGTCCTCCTCTGACTGCTCAGCCAGCCTCTGCCCTTCCCCAGCCTCCTCCACAACTTCCAGAGCCATACTTCCACTCCATGTTGTTTGTTCCTCCTCTCCCTCAGAGTCAGTGTCCACCAGGGGCATGATACCCTGGCTGGCATACAAACACTAGAAACAGAAATACAAACATTAAAAATAAAAATAAAAAGAAATTAAATAAGTTAAAACCAGAATGCTTGGGGTGGATTCTAATTAATCTACTCACCATCTCCAACATGGAATCCCAATTAGGGCATCAGGCCACTTGACAAGGCCAGATTTTGAGGCTCTTATGAAAGGCCAAGAGGATTGGAGTGGATCTTAATTTGAGGGACACAATAGTCCATAGGGTGGGAGCCAGCTGGAATTCCTTGGAATGCACATCATGCCCTTTCTGCAGTAATGAGTGGATTAGGCCAATCCCATTGAGGCGAGATGGTTCCTAGGGTCCTTTATCCTGATATATCACCAATGTAGAATGCCATTGGTGAAAATGTATAGTGCAGTTTTATTGTGCACTTTTTGTGTACAGTTTACTTTCTTGTGAAATGTGCAATTTTAATGTCGAGTTCTAAGAGAGAGTTGTTATGGAACTGCCATTTTTGGAAAGAATCCTGTTTATCTTTATATATAGTTTGTCTTCAGCTTGAGAATTGGACTGTGTTCAATATGACAATAATGGCTGAGATGAAATGATTTCATTCCATGATTTGAATCTACTTCTTAATCACCATAAAAACACCACCCCAATCTGTAGACAACTGACAAATTAAAAATCTATTTGAGTTCTATTTTCTGTTCTGCTTCTGTTTTCCCAGCAGCTGAACTGTTTTGATTATGGAATTAAATCATTACCATCAAAAATATCAACTGGCTTTGGTTTTGTTCACACACCTGGTAACCCTACTGACAAAAGCTGAGCCACACAGATGTCACCAAGGGCAGAATTAGGAAGCAACAGCATAACAGAGGTCTAATTAAGGGCAAGATTTGGCCGGTGGAATTCTCATTATTGAACTTAATGCACCAGTCAGAAAGAACACAGCTTGACTATCAGCAGAACTGGATTACCCTCATAGTGAGTTGCAATTAGGAAAAATATCATTTGTGCTTGTAAATTCAACCACTGTAATCCAGAAGAAAACAAGATAAGGCAAATATGAAGTTCCACGGTGCCATTTTACAATATCTGCCTTTTTAACCTACACTCAAAAAGAGATATTTTAGGAGAGAGAAAGAAAGCAGGAAAAAGAGATGCAACAAATTAATCTCAATGCATGTGCTACTTTATTCCTAGAGTTTGTTTACTAATCCAAGGGGAATGCTCTGAGGAGGATTAGAAGGCCATAAAAGAGTGCACCTACAAAGCATTTTCTGTTCCTTTTGTTGTTATTACAGCTACATAACTTGTTTACCTGATACTTTCCATACAAAGAAAATCTCATCAAACCCTTTAAAGCCAAACAAAGCTGTAGACCTGTAAGCATTAAATAAAGTGTCAGAAATTGTGGGAATAAATCATACATGGAATAAAAGTTATATACCTCTTGTTCAACAATGATGCCATCCAACAAAGATGGCAGGTGGCAACAACTACTGCAGCAGACCAAATTACACAACAAATTAATGTAGCCTGGTGCCTCCTGACCAGACTACATTGTTTAGGACTTCAGAGTCCATCAGCTCCACCCAACATAATACTAATAGCAAAGGATAGTAGGAATTTCTGACTAAAACATCCGGAAAACCTTAGGTTAGGCTAAGATAAAATATCAGCGCATTCTAAACTGGAATCCATTTCTCCACTCAATCCCAGTTTTCAAGTCAATTTAGTCTATTGTAAAATGTCAGGTTCCATGTTTCTTTAAGCTACAGTGCTCTACCGATCTAACTGAGATTCAGTTAACTATGGGGTTTTATTTCCAGGCAGTAGATATACAATAATCCAAAGCTATAGTGTGTTAAAATGTTTTTGTGCATGCTTGTTTTGTTTGAGACACCATCATCTAGATAGTAAATGTTTTCAAAATACTCTTCCAACTCATGATACGCTATATGAAAAACGTTATGATTAAAGTATCCAAAATGGAATGGCCCAATTCATTTTATGCTGAATTATATTTTTCTCATAGGATTTCAAATTTAGAGTAGGAGCCCAAACTAATTGGAGAAAAGAATAACTTTGTGGAAGCAACAATGGAGAATCTGCAAAATATTACGCATAATAATAACATGGTATCAAAGGGAGGCATTGATTTCAAGGATTTGAATCTAAATTTACAGGAGTAAATTCACTGAAATCCAGGGGACAAATCACTGTTAGCATGGTCTTCAATGGATTTCTCTATATAAGACTCAATCTGAATTCAGTATAGGTAGAATCTCTATCCTGATAGTGACATTGATAGATATTCAAATTCAAATTCTTTCTTCCTATCTCTGAACTTCCTATATAAAACAGGCATTTGAACAGGCATTTGGGGTTGGAATTACAAAAATCGGGGGGAAATTGGCATGCAACGGATGTCCAAAAAGAGAACCCTCTCTTGCTTTTTCAAAGGACTCTAGTGCTGCTTCTTTTGTTTCAGAAAGTGGCAAGGATAATCCTTTGTGGTGTTGAACTCAAAGACCTTCTCCAAACAAACATGTGCTGTAACCCTTATCTACATCCCTTTCCCTAACCCAGCCTCGTTATGTCCGATTACTTGTGAAAAATAAGGCATATGCCACTCTACTTGAGCAAGTTGGTGACCGACTAATTATCCCAATCTTTTAAAGATTTATCCTTTAAGAACTAATGGATAACCTCTTTCAAAAAAACAACAACAACATCATTTCTCCTAAGTAGATTCTTGAACCTGTTCTACAATCAGTAAATAATCTTTCCAGCTTTAAAGTGCAGCCTGTTCTCTTGAAACAGGAACCACACAAATGGGTCAACCACTTTAAAAAAAAACAAAACAAATGATGATAGCAATAATATGTGTTAGTTTATCAAGCCATTTGCATATTCTTTCCAATGGCTGCATTTTTTGTTCCCTGTTGTTTAATTCAGCCTTTTCCTTGTCTCGTAATGAATTCTCAGAGGTGTGCTAATGAACAGTAGCCGTGGATAGGCGCATTGAGTGTGTGTGTCACAACACATCTCTTCTTCGTCTTCTTTCCCATTTTTTTTCTTCCTGTTGCACCAAACAATGGTCACTGAGAATAATTAGTGTATGTGCACATATTTGATTCTTTTTTGATGCGTGGCTTGGTTGTTGGGTTGGTTTGCTCGCTTGTTTTTAGCAGCTCTATTGCTTATATATCAATACCTATGAGCCATGGTGTGCATGGCCCTGGGTATGAAATGTTTTTGATTGACGTGTCCTCATTCCTACAATTGCCATAGCGCTGAAAAAAAAAACATCCCAAGCAACCATGCTCTCAAGGGCTCCTCTTTGGCATGAAACAACCTTGGATATTTCAGTAATGTTTTCCTCTCTCTTTTTTTTCTTCTTCTTTTGCTTCCTCTCTCCTTCTCCTCTCCCCTCCCCCTAGGATGTAATTGGAAAAGCACTGCAGTATATTGGAACATATGGAGAGCTCAGTAGTACCGAACAAGTTGTGGCTCTGATTGATGAGGAAATGTGTATCAACTGTGGCAAATGCTACATGACCTGTAATGATTCTGGCTACCAGGTAAGAACACAGCTGTAATTAGCAAAAAAGGCACTGTGAGTTGTCTTTCTGCTGCTGAGGCAGAAGGATTCCACCGTCTCTTGACGGGCAGATGGGAAAAGTAGATTTACAAGATACTGGAAATTAACATTGGCACACTCCCAGCTATAGACTGCAGGAACCATGTCTGATCTATTCGCAGAGATTGTCAATAAAGCAGGTTTCTTAGAGTCTTGAGATACACAGTTCTCTCTCTCCCTCCCTCCCTCCCTCCCTCCCTCTCTCCCCCACTCTCTCTCCCCCTTCAGTTTTCTTGCTGCATATCATCTATTGCTAAGCCGCCATGTTTTTCCCAGCATTACATGCTGCAGAATGCTATTGAAGACAAAATACTTCCAGATCATGTTGGAGGAAAAAAAAATATTTCGGCAGATGCACACTACAGAATCTATTTAAATACATAAAACTCAATTAGATTTAATTGTTTCAGTGACCACATCTGAATGTATAGTAGAGCAGGAAGCTATATCCATTTTTGTAGTGATATGGTATTGGGATCTAAGAAATCTCTTTAACTCCTAACTGATGATAAGATATCTCCAGTTTAATATATAATATACTGATTCATTATGTAATGTATAATTTGCACACAGCATATATGTGCACATACAATTTAGAGACCCATACAGAAATGCAAACATATAGATGAACAAGAATTAACTTAATACAAAAGAATCCAATGTTAGATTCAAAGTTGTAATTTAATATGGGATTCAACAGCAGTAACTAAAATTTCCAATGAACATACCAAGAAGCTCAAAAGCAATGGTGTGGAAATAAAATACGTTAGAAACCTAATAAATAACACAAAGACTTCATTTAATAAACAGTGCAAGAAGTTAATTTTATTTATTGAGTTAAACAAGATGAGATCAGGTCACCATCTACAGACAAACAGAAATAACAATGAAACACTCAACAAGGCAGTTTAATATTGCTGTTGTTGAACATAATAAATTTCCAAGGATTGTTTTGCCCACACAAAAAATGTATTCTGCCTCCTTGACATATTATAACAACAAAAATTTCTGGAAGACACAATTGAGTCTGACAAGATAGAGTTCAGTAATTCCCATTCTTGTTGTTTTCAATAGGAATTACTGGATTCCTAAAATTTTGTAAGCTTAAAGTGATTCTTCATAAAATAATAAAGGAGATGAAATACCAAGTATTTCAAGCAGTACGTGCGCTTTACTGTAGGTTTCAGAGGAAGCAACTATCACCACCCTCTCCATCTTAGATACAACAAGCAACAGCCAAGTCTGGGAGTCTACACGCTATGAGCATAGATAAGTTATACATTCATGATCCCTTACAAATTAAGCAAATATACTAAGATGGTGCTGAGAAAAACAAGGCTGGAAGAAGTGGTGCAGACACCAATCTGAACTAATAAAGAAAATCCACATTCACATTTCGTGCATTTAACAAATTGTTCTCTTTGATCTATTCCACTTGATTAAAGTGTATCATGTCTAGAGCCAAACTAATAAAGGCTGCCTGCTTTGACAAGGAGTGCGCATATTTTAAGAAATATATCACATTAGGAAGATTTGGATGGGTAACCATCTATTTCAGTCTAGAATGCTTAGTGAAAATAAGAAATAAATGGCCACAGAACAGGGCCTCGCCACCCCTCCTCATTTCATCTCATGTTTATGTTCTTGCATTTACTAGACAACCTGGTGTAGAACTACAACTTCCCAAGGCCCCAGAGCCAGCCCTCAGGAATTGTGTCCAAAATACTTAGAAGACATTTCTTTTATCGTAGATAGAAAATATTAATTCAGCAGAAATGTACTAGACAAACAAATCATTTCTCAAATAAAAAAATAATGGGCAATCAAGTTTTAATTCTAAATTTAATATGAATTAACGCCCAATTTTCAGAGGTTGCCTTGGAACTTCCCTAGGAAGCAAGGGTGTCCCCCTTCCTCCCTTCCTCCTAATGCAATTCTGTTTGCACTGGCACAACCTCATGATTGCTGCAATATCATTTTTGCCGTTGTATCAATCGTCCGTTATCTTTGCAAGGCAAATATTCCACACGATATCCACAAGCACCAACCAAGGTTTTTTGGGTTTTTTTGGTAAAACTCATTTTTTTGATTACCAAAGATTATGGAAGAATAGAGACATGAAACAGAACAGGACTGGTTTAGAGTTGCATGCAACTACCCACAGCCATCAACACATACCTACGCCGCGAAGGGGTTGATGAGTAAGCGGAGGCTGCAGATGGGTTGATATAATCCCCCTCCCCCCAAAAATCTCAACTGTGCATTGTGCAGAGGTGCACACCCTGCATGCTGATTGGTTCTGACTTCCTGCTGGGAGGTGGAGAAGGCAAGGCATACCTAGGCAAGAAATATTAAAATTAACTGACATATAAAAAGAACACTATACAATTGTCCCCGAATGACAGATGCATATATTCTCTCACGTTCATTCTGAAGTCTGCTCGAGCCTTCAGTTCATTGCCAAGAAAAGAATTTATACAAATAAAGACATACTTAAAAAAAAAATTTACAAAACAAAAAATAAAAAAACCTTCTGGGAATCAATGAGTAAAAAAAAAAACATCCGCATTGAGTTTTTCTTGGAGAGTGCTGCTATCAAAGATATCATAGCCTAATAAAAGTGTACTATAATATGTAATAGTGACAGCGCTGAAATAATTTAGTTTGCTTGCAACAGCAATAATGTTCTGGTGCTGTTTTATTTTTAGCAATGGAATAGGACTATCATGAAAGTGTGGCCATTAGTTACATTTTCCAGCCGAGGCCCTGAGCTGTGGGCACGGATTGCTGGAAAAGAATTATTTGTTGATTAAGGCTACTAGCCACAAGGGAAGACTCACCGGTCCATTTCAAGTTGTATTCTTTGTACTGTAGCCTCTCTCTGATTATTCACCTTCTATATCATTCGCCCAGCAAATAGTGAGCCTTGAGGATTCTTCATTAAAAGGGCTGCTTTAAAGGTTGCTTTGTATTTTGTTAATTTTTCTCTGCTCATGGTAAAGAGACAAGAGATATGCCTGAATACCCAGCCTTCTGTTCAAACTGTTTGTGCTGTTTCTGGATTTACCTGCAGGTTTCAGGAGTCAGTATGTGGTCCATGATAACATGGTTAGTTTAGCAGGAAACTACCATAGGAAGCGTTTAAATTGGTACTTCCATCTTTAAGGAAGATCTATGAGCTACTTGTCCTCTCGCCTTTATCTGGAGCAAACTAAGCAAGTAGCCCACTGGAGCTGTTCCAACCCCACGTAAGAAAAATAAAAACTGCTGCATTGGGAAGCCATTCCCTCAGCCTACACAAATACATGAAGTAAACAGCCCTTTTGAAAAGTAAACTATAGTCTCTGGATTTACAGAACCAGGCCACAAAAATGGACATGGCATGGCTTTAGGTGAGCATTAACGATTTTGCAAAGAGTTCCAGTAGGCACTTTGAAAAGATATACATTATGCAAGAAAATTCATCGTTGGTAATATTGATTCCAGTTTCAACTTGTAGGGTTACCTACATCAGAGAGCAGGATTAGATCTGGGATATCTTATACCTAGGCAGTTTAGCGTGGTGGTTAAGGCAGCAGAAACCAGAAGAATGTGACTTTCAGCCATGTAGGCAGAAAGCCAGTGAGGTAACCTTGGGTCAGTCATACCCTCTCAGCTCTAGGAAGCCGGTAATGGCAAACCACTTCTGAAATGTTGCCAAGAACAATGCAGAAACTTGTCTGGGTAGTTTCTAGGAGCTAACATCGAATGAAAGGCATAGCAAAAAAAAAAAAAGGCTACACAAACCCTTTGAAAGAGATTCTACAATATGTGCAGGAGCACAAGCAAAAACACTTTTTTTTTTGCTTCTTAAAGCAGCTATGTCTTCTTCAAGATGTCCATTGCTATTCAGAAAACATTTCTAGGCTGTTGGCTGGTGTTTGCACAGTCCTTTCTTGTTACATTGCTCACACACGTGCAAAATATTTGCCCAACTCATCCCTCTCATAAGAAAACTCATCTCTTATTGACTGATTGACTTACTTACTTACTTACTTACTAAGTGTTGTAAATGATTTTATATATCATATACATAAAATAATGACAGCAGCAATAATAAAGAAAAGGGAGGAATGGTTTTTCCCACTATCCCCACCAGTGTGGAATATTTGTGTTAAATTAATGCCAGTACATCAGTATGCTGTGAAGGATTCACTTTTCAAAGGCACAGATATTTTTTATTAAACTTGACCAACTCGTGCTGAAGCTTGATTTTGTCTGTAACTCCACTGAGTACATAAGAAGGAGAATAAGGACGAAAGGAAGAAAAGAGATTTCTACCAGAGCCCAATTTACCTCAATATTTCACATATTTTTAGAAAATGTTATTTTCCTAGCGATCGAAACTGTTACTGTAGCTGCAATGCGGTACCAAACAAAGATTTCTCCAAGCACCTCAACTACAGGAAATGTAGATGCTAAAAATGGGGTTGTTTTTGACCTTTTCTGTGAGTGACATCAATGCTGTTTATTTCTGCTTTCCAGGCTATACAATTTGATCCAGAAACCCACCTGCCCACTGTTACTGACAGTTGTACAGGCTGCACTCTGTGTCTCAGTATCTGCCCTATTATTGACTGCATCCGAATGGTTTCCAGGACAACACCTTATGAAGCAAAGAGAGGCTTGCCCTTAGCTGTGATCCCCATGTGCTGAGCAGATCAGACCAACAGTTAAAGGGAAACTTCTATTTGCTTGATTCTATTGATTTGCTTTCTAATTAGTACCAGCAAGTCCAGTACATTCTAGCAAAAAGAAGGGAAGAGGGGGGAAGAGGGAGGGAGGAAGAGGGGGAGGGGAGGAGGAAAGGAAAGGAAAAGAAAGGAAAAGAAAGGAAAGTAATTCCACTAATGAGCGGCTAAATAAAACTGGCTGAATTTTTCAGTTTATATCCCATCTCTTTCCCTTTCTAATCTTCAGACAGATAATAAGTTAGTTTGCTGGTTGTGATTTGGCTTTGCCTTTTATAAGATGCATAACTTTTTTTCTCGCGCGCTTTCACAAATCTGTATATGTTCTGATCATCTGAGTTTTAATTTTTCTTCGCTCTAACAATGGAATGAAAATCAAGAAACTTTTCATAATCATGTAAACCCTAACACATGGACAAACTTTGTTACCATGGAAACATTGGGTAATTACGCATTTCATTTCCTTTTAAAACTGGTTTTAGAAGATGTAATTAACTGTATAACACACAAACAAAGCATTGTATATCATGGGGGGGTGCTTTTACAGAAAGATATAAAAAGAGGGTTAAACTGCTATTTCTGAACAATTAAATCAGTTTTGATAGTGGCAGCATCTGCTGGTCTATTACTCTAGTTCTCGCTAAATTCTACTTCTCCCTAAATGCTACCTCTGACTAGGCATTAAAAAATCAAATGTGCAAATACAGTGCACTTTTGTCATTTGATGTTTTCAGTTGGTAGCACAATTTTTGTTGCTGTTGTTCTGTTAATGAACTTCCAGTCCCTATGTACTAATTCTAATCTTTCACATATAAATATAGGATATTTTTTGTCACATCACTATGGTGTTGGCAAAATAAAATTATTCTTGAGGCATGAGCAGAGGACCAAAGGCAATTACTTCAAAATTTTCTTGTTTTCTACCATTCATACAGTGCTGGATAAAACAATGTAGTTCTGTCAGCGTAGATAGATGGGTGAGGATCAGACGATACAATCTTTTTGATTGCCACAGAGAGTATCTGACAATAAATGGTGTCTACTAAATATTTTCCAACTACAAAGTCCATTTCACTTCTGGGTTTTACTGTGCCTAAATGAAAGTTCCACAAAATCTTTGGAGAAAGGATGAGTTGATGGGCCAGTAAAGATAATTATAGTTATATTTATAATTATATTATAGATAATTTAAAATGATGTCAACACAGGATGTCTGATCGGTGCACAATGTAGGATCTTTTAAAGAAACCTGTTACTGGTTCCTATTATGAGATCCATTCCTCCCCATGATTCTGGCATACAAACTCTCTTACTGCACAGCAAGAAGCAGCCCATCAGAATTAGTATTAATGAGGTACGGTGGAAGATGTTCTATTGGGTAGAAGATGTTCTACTGGGATGCAGTGGCTAAGACACTGAGCTTGTTGATCAGAAAGTTTGGCAGTTCGAATCCCTAGCACCATGTAAAGGAGTGAGCTCCTGTTACTTGTACCAGCTTCTGCCAACCTAGCAGTTTGAAAGCAAGTAGAAAAATAGGGACCACTTTGGTGGGAAGGTAACAGCGTTCTGTACACCTTTTACATTTAGTCATGCCAGCCACATGACTATGGAGACGTCTTTGGACAGCGCTGGCTCTTCAGCTTTGTAATGGAGATGAGCACCGCCCCCTAGAGCCAGAAACAACTAGCATGTATGTGTGAGGGGAACTTTTACCTTTACCTTTAAAAGATGTCCTCAACTTAGACATAGAATAATAGGGTGGGAAGGGATGTTTGGAGGTCTTCTAATTCAACTCTCTGCTCAAGTAGGAGACCCTACACATTCCAGACACATAGCTCTCCAGGATCTTCTTGAAAACCTACACTGATGGAGCACCCACAACTCTGTTTCTCCTTGGTTCTAAGTTGGATTTCTCTTTAACAATCTTCTACCTGTCACTTCTTAGGGATGACCAAACACGTTATTCTGCATTCTTAGGGTGGGGGTGGGGGTGTCCTTGGTGCTCTCTGGGCATATTTGTTTTCTTGCAGACTTTTCATTACCCTAACTAGGCATCCAGATAACAGTATTGTAAAAAGGTAGTGACTGGGTATCCTGACTAGCACTGATGATGTTACCTAGTTAGGGTAAGGAAACATCTGCAAGAAAACAACCCAGCTCAGAGAGCACCAAGGACCCCTCACATCAACCCTGAGCTACACATATTCTCCTTTATTGTACATTCTCAAAACAGGAGTACATCTGGGTGGAATGGGAAGTAGACAAAGCCTCAATAGCAGATAGCAACTGAAATACTTCCTACCCATCATATAAAGAAAAATCACTAGCAGAGTGGATTTCTTCTCATCCTATACTTCCACTACAGCAAGTATGGGTTTGAAAAAAATCCTATCTTCTAGCCCAAAGATCATGTAGATAATGTTGGATAAAACAACATGTCTTCCCACAAGAAGAAATATAGCAGAAATGTATAAACATTCTGAAACCATATTTAGTCAAAGCCCTATCAGTGCTTTAATAACTTTCTGAGCCCTATCAGTGCTTTAATAACCTTCTTTTCATGTAAAGATCACTAGCCACATCTCCTATATGCAAGCATTTTAAATGGCAAAATGTAAGGTAAATAATTGTTAGCATATCAATGCCAAATGTTTTTTTAAAAAAATGTGTAATAAACATTCAAAAATAGAACATGTTTGTTTACAATAAAACCAAGATAAGGATTTTCCACCATTCTGAAGCAGCATGATACCATCGACTTATTTCTCATTCTCAGTTGTACTAATACTTTGCTAGCTATTTTATCCCAAAGAAGCTGCAAGAGAACCATATGTTGTTCAATACTTAAAATAGCAAATAATGTATCCATTTCTCTGATCTCTTTGCTATCAACTGAAAAGCAAAACTTTGATTATGCATATTAAATAATGCTTGTGTTCAAATTTCAGTATATTTACATAGTTATAAATAAATCACAATTAAAGAACATTATACAACTTGTTTTAAAATGTGTTTTTCCTCTGCATTTTGTGTGTGTGTTTTTATATAAAAAAAAATAGCAAGCCAATTTGCATGTTATATGTAATAGTCTTCCAGTTCTCCAGAATTAGCTCTCTCCTTTTTGATCACTTGCTATCAAACAGTCGTATATAATCCAATCATTTTATATTGATGAAGCTGGGCTTGTAGCATAGAATGAGGTTCATAATAATAAAGAAAATGTTTTTCATTAACCCACTATCAAAAAGAGCTCTGTGGATTTTTAAAAATTTGAATTGCTGTGCACATACAACCCAATTCAAAGCATTATTATTATGCAGGAATTGGTCCTGGATTGTTTTGTAGTGGTGATATTCACATTTTTCCATACCAAGAGTGACAATTACACTATCTATTGTTCTTCAATTATCTCAAAAATAAGATTGCTATGTATATATTTGAGAGGATTGTACATGTCAGAGCGCTGCAAAGAATTGTTGGTTGTTAATCAAAGTCAAGTTTGTGACCTGTTTCTGTTTAAAATAACTTGAAACTTCTTTTATGTTGGTTTTATTTTGTTCTTGGTTGGTTGGAAGGGTGGTAGTGTTTTTTCTGTTTGTTTGTTTTGTTTTTTCTGTTAATTTTTTCATATGAGGTGAAATCCTAACACATAACACTAAATATTACAGAGAAATAACTGTTTTAAACTGTTTTAACAAATGACATGTTAAGATCATGTGACCAAGCAACAGCATAGCAGCAGCCAGTAGCACTGAACCAGCCACAACTTCCCCAAATTTCATTTCATAGATAATAGATTTTGTAAATTATCCCATTTGAAATACCTTAGTTCAGAAATTGTTACACTATGATACAGTATTTTACCCTTTTAAAGGTCTTGACAACAAGAGTTTTAGTAGTATAATTGGCTTTTAAAATACTTGGACTTCAACTCCAAGAATTCCCCAGCTGGGGAGTTGAAGTCCAAGCATCTTAAAGTCAACAAAGTTGAGAAACATGTATAGAAGTTTTAAAAAGAATATTTGTGCCTGTGAGAGAATGAGATGGTTGGTTTCAATTCACACCACCTCTGTGTCATCTTTAATCTGGTAAGTAAACTAAAACAGTCAAAAACAGTCAAAAAGTATTTTCTTGGACAGATTTGATTCACAACATAGTTGGTTTCACTGCTCAGCTTGCAAGCTTATCTTACTGCTACCAATACCATTAGCCCGAGCACAACATTTAATGAAGAAAACTGTCTTCCCTTCTTCATTAAAAAAATGTGTCCAGATGAGGTTACCTCTAGATGAAATAACTGCCACTATTTATATAAATATATTCTATAACTTACATGGACCTCAAAGTACGAAGACTGGGATTTTCAGTTTTCCTGAAAATGTCTAAGATCCAATAGCATTTCTGATAAAGCCTTTATTCTTTGTACTCTGTCTTTGCACATTGCATTTGAATGACGTGGGATGAAAAGTCTTTTAATTATATTTTCTATGGTCATTTTCATAGACTGTGATGGAAAAGAAGCTATCTCTATTGTAAATCAGTGAGAGAGTTCTGCCATAGACTTGTGCTCTATTTTCACATCTTGTATTTAATGAATTTAACTTCACCTTAAAGTCCGATTCCCTCCATAAGAATGTTCTGAGGATGTGTATGTTTTCCTGCTGAATGTAAATACTTTTAAAAACTGTTTCTTTTTCATGCATTTACTGGACAAGCAACAATAATCTAAACCACAATTATATAATTATATATTATAAAGCTATTTTATAATAATATTATTTTCCCCTTTATTCTTCCTTCAATAATAATAAAAGGCCAATCATGACCACAACCAGTATTTATATATCCAAACCATATCAAAAAGTTGTTTCACTACTTTTTAGTCTCCCTTGAGGACTTCAGAAAACACAGTTAAACAGGTTACCCACTGTGTCCCATTCTTTTGTGTCAGTGTTATAATTGTTCTTATCATATGCACATATTTGCCAGAATTTGAAGAATTCTTTATTCACAACCAATATCCTTAACTTTAAAAAAAAAACTTCTAGATTTGGTCACTATTTTTTTTAAAAAAAATACATGCAACAATTATATCACTGCCAATTATGAATGAATCTGATGAATATAACGCTTTTTATACTGTCATAGAACTTAGAACATAGAATAGTAGAGTTGAAAAGGACTTAGGAGGTTTTCCAATCCAACCCCACTATACCATTTCAGAGAAATAATTGTCCAGTCTCTTTTTGAAAGCCTCCAGGGATGAAGCACCCACAAGTTCCATTGGTTGATTGCTCTCATTATTATGAAAGTTCTCCTTAGTTCTAAGTTGCTTCTCTCCTTGGTTAGCTTCCATCTTGCCTTTTGGTGCTTTGTAAAATGATACAATACAATCACAATGATACGATCCCACACGGTCACAATTAATCCCATAACAATGAATTGCTGCTGAATTCAGTTGTGCCTATTTCAGCACAAAAAGAGTACAAAATTTCAACATCTTGTGGTGACTTCTGAAGGGAATGGTTGACTATTTGGTAGACGCCACAGAAGTTAAAACACAAAATCCTATATATAGATCTGTTGTTAAATCAGGTTTTTTAAACTCAGGTTTTGATGATGACTAAAAGAAATGCTGCCTTTTTCTTTTCATTTATATCATTTTCAAAAACAGACAGCCAATGTACTTTTACATGTAACCTTTAACAGTTTGAGCTTTTAAAAGACACATTGTGAGCAATATTTTTGAGCAAAGATTGGCAATTTCTCTAAGCCATCTGATGCTTTCATTCCCCTCTCCAGCCTTTTTCCTTCTGCCTGTTCTTTTTAAATTGTAAGCATGGAAATGTGTTTTGTTTATGAACTTATATTCTATTTTGTCTTTTGTGGGTAGTGGGTGAAATGAGTATAATCAAAATAATAAAACAAACCAGTAAATAAACATTTACCTTATCAATCAGCATAAAGGCAGAAATAATTTAGATATTTTGTCCAAACTTAAAAGTATTAATTCGAATGAGTCACATTTGCATTAGCTGGTTTAGCAGGAGGGATTAAAAAAAATCTTCCTTGGTTTTTGTTCAGCTATAAAGCTGTATGGCAGTTTTGTACTTTTTGATGTGTAGATCTTTTCTTTAATTGAA